TAAGAAGAGATGGTATATATTTGACTGTATTTTTCAGTAGATACTGGAAAAGAATCAAAAATGCATTGTGAATCTAAGCACTAAGATTTTGAGCCAAATAGAGGATCAAAGGACGTTAGTCAATAACAAGGAATGTGGATATTTTTTTGGAAAAAGGAAATAAATACAGCTTGAATGTCTCAGGGCTGGTTTGCCAATTCTAAAATTCATACATGTAATTTATTGAAAATATTTTGATGTTTCTTTTTTTTAGAACAATAATAATATCATTGATCAATCAAATAAAGTAGCTGAATAAAATTTCAGTATTTCCTTTAACACTAAAAGAAAAACTGTTGTATACATACAAATTATACACAGCTGTATATCATTATTATTACGGTTCAATTTTATCCCTGGATAATTTTAGTTTCCTTTGTGTCATACTCATTATCATACATTTTTATACCCAAAAACACAGGAAAAAATTTAAATTGAAGTATAAAGCAAAAAATAAAAATACCGTCCATGTATGGCCAAAACAAAAAAAATGATGACTGGCTCACTCAAAGCTGCACTGGGTGACTGTTTGTCCTAAAAAGGTTTGAAATCTCTGTTGGATACTCCCTTTTGCCCCACCAGCTACAGGTACATACCCCTCCCCCTCAGGCATGCAATTCAACATTGTAATAAAAGAAGACCACTGTCAACCTTATTAAAAAGTTACAGAGTAAAAACATTGTTATTAGGAAACAGAAAAAACATTCTACTGAAGTGAATTATTGCAGTAACCTTTGAATTTTGGTTCCATCGCTTACATGTATTGTCTCTAGTAACAAAAAGTGCAAGTCTTAAGATGAAATTTTCATATTAAAGAACAAAAAATATCCTTCCTTTTTCCAGGGAGGCCATTTTCTCCCAACAAGGTAGAAATTTCATTCAAGTTTCATATAAAATACTTTTTGTTTGTTTTGGCCATGAAGACCCCCTCACCTTACAACTTTTAAGGATCCTAGAATCAAATAATGCAAATATCCCTTATGCACAACTGTCTTACAAAATTATATGGATTTTAAGGCTCGGCAAGAGAAAATTGGCAAAAAAAATACTTCCAGTCCTTCACATGTAATTGAACTGTCTATCCCCTACCACACAGAGAGAAAATAACTGGCAATGCAATTTTGCTTATCTGTGCAAATTAAGTTTGCTGTCATTAAGTTTCACAATCCCCCATAAGCAACAATGCACTCTGTCATACAGTGTAGGTGTGCTGTTACCACCCCTGAAATCCCCTAAGCAAAAACCTTGCATGCCTCCCTCTAAAACAATAAATTATGATCACAGCAATTGTAGGCATGTG